ATCCGGTAGATGTAATATAATCAGCCTGCCGTGTCTACTAACCAGGTAGGTAGGTAGATAGGCAGGTAAGTAGGTTATTAACCAAAATAGTATTAAAACCCAGTATAAAATTTATTTGAGTCTATGTTACTGTGAGTAATGTAGTATCTACAATCAAAACCAAATCTTCGACTTTTTTTTCTTCAGCCTTCCATCTCGTGCACAAACTTATCTCGTGCCCTCATTGGTCCTGTGTGCGTTGGTGTGTGTTGGAGGAGGGGCTCTGTGAGGAAGTCTGAAGGAAGGGGCAGATTTTTTCCAGTTGTGTATTTTCAAATTCTAGCGCACTCGAGCTGGTTTCTCCATTCTTACCTACCCTACCTTTAAGATGTGCTATAAAAACCAAAATACTGCAACAACAGAAATATAGGCCTTTACTACAGTAGCAGAAACATTTATAAATAGATAGCATATAAAGATGTGCAAGGTTGCTGTTGTGCAAATTGTTAATGATTGTCAAGAGGGAACTAAACTATACAGCACTGTTTAGCTGCCTTTCCATTTGAAGACCCAGTATTTAACCTCTGACTCTTATTCTGCTCCTCCAGTTCCCCCAGAGTTCCTTGTGCCTCTGAGTGACGTGACGTGTGACGACGCAGAGAGCGTCACCCTCAGGTGTAAGGTCTGCGGTCGGCCCCGGCCCACCGTCACCTGGAAGGGCCCCGACCAGAGCAACCTCAGCAACAATGGACACTTCAGCACTGCCTACAGGTGAGGGGACATTTCACAACAAGTTCATATCTGGGAGGAAATTATGCTAAAACTCCATCAGACTGATTGTCTTTAAGGCTTATGGGTCATTCCAGAATTGGAGGACAATTTAGAACATCAACACTTGAAAAATAAACCCTTTTAAAGAAAAATTGTAAGTTGCAGTGTTAGCATGCTTAGGCTACCTGGTGGCAATATGATGGAATACATTGCTTTGACCATTACAGGAGACATATAACAACAAAATAATAGATTAAAGCCTATTTTAAATGTTATTTTTGACATGCAAGTTGGTCTAATAGGAGGGACGTGAGAAACATGACATTTCAGGGGGTGTTTTAGAGCTATTTGATATTTCAAATAATATTTTTAGACCACCTAGAGACAAGTCTACTTTCAACACACCAGGTGCATGTTTTAACATTTTGTCCTCCAATCCGTGAATGTCCCTTATTGCTTATCACTGTGCAAAAGGACTTGTATGTGGTTACTCGTGTTTGAAGAAGAAATGAAATGAGACGTGTTCATTTCAGTGATACGGGTGAAGCAACGCTGCGGATAATCGGCGTCTCCTCTGAGGATGACGGCGTTTACACGTGTGTCGCCACCAACGAGCTGGGCAGCGTCACGTCATCCGCTAGCCTCAGAGTGTTAGGTAAGAACAAACACTACATGTGACTCGCTCTATCGAGATCTGTCAGGTGTCACAGCGGCATACTCAGAGGGAATTATGTTTTGGGGGGTTTTGGTGGATAATAAAGAATATTGCACTTTTGTAGCCATATCAAGACGATAAATACATTTTTGAAGCTCGTAAAGACGGGGTGTTCAGCAATCACCGTCTCCTCACTTTGATAAAAAAACCATCACAAATGAGTAAGCCTAGTCAATACCTTGGATGGATTGCTAACAAGCTCTGATATAGATTTACAAAGACCTCTTGATTAAAGCTAATCCAGTGGCGGTCCTAAGGGGGGGCAAGGGGGACTGTGCCCCATAATATTAAGCCCTGAGCACCCAGCTAAAATGACTACGGCTAAAATATTGTCAGCAAGCTTTGAAGGACTAGTATTCATGTAATCATTGGAAAGCTAAGGATCTCAACTCAAATGCGTCCTGTATATCAGAGTCGAAACGGCTGATTCTGATAGAGCAGGTCACATATACAGAATGCACAGAGCTCATTATCAGTGTGGACATAATCTGATTATCTGTCTCCAGCAGTGTCCACTGACGGCATCAGAGTGAGCTGGAAAGACAACTTTGAGTCTCACTACACTGAGGTGGTTGAACTGGGCAGGTAATAGACTCACCTTCATTTTAGTGACATTCAGTGTGTTCTTGTAAACCACCTGACCTCTGACGCTTCTCTCCAGGGGTCGTTTCTCTGTCGTGAAGCGGTGTGACCAGCGGGGCTCCAAGCGTCTGGTGGCGGTCAAACAGGTGAACAAGAAGCTGATGAGGAGGGACCGGGTCACGCAGGAACTCAACCTGCTCCAGAGGCTGCAGCACCCCCACATAGTCGGCCTGATCGACACGTATGAAACCCCCAGCAGCTACGCCCTCATCCTGGAGATGTGAGCACAACATTTGGACTTTATCTAATAGCCTAATAGCTACGTAGCTCATTAGCCTTGATCTACCTTTGCCTTTCTTCCATCTGATAGTTTCTTTTGTGTTTTTTTATTTCCAGGGCTGACCAAGGTCGTCTGCTGGACTACATCGTGAGCTGGGGGAATCTGACGGAGGAGAAAGTGGCCTGCTACCTGAGGGACGTTTTAGAAGCTTTACAGTACCTGCACAACTCCAGGATAGTGCATCTGGACATAAAAGTAAGACCTTTTTAAAGGGATACTTCCCATTGTTTGAAGTGAGGTTGTATCAGGTATCTGTACTCGGTAGATAGCGTTCCACATGTCCACAGTTTATAGAAAGTAGAGAGGAGTACCAGGAAGTTAAAACATGTCAAATTAGAGGAGCTACAAAACATCCTCTCAATAGAAAAATAAAGAGCTTTTTGAACATTAAAACATGGAATGAAATTGTGCGTTGTATGTCCTCTCGAAGTCTCTTTGTATAAAGCTGTTGTAATGTAACCAGACTGAAGGTGTTAATGTGACTCATCTCTGTTCCAGCCTGAGAACCTGCTGGTGTCCCACAGCGCCAGCGGCCAGCCGACGGTGAAGCTCACAGACTTCGGTGACGCGGTGCAGCTCAACAGCGCCCTCTACGTCCACCCCCTGCTGGGCAGCCCTGAGTTCGCCTCCCCGGAGTTGGTCCTTGGAGATCCGGTGTCGCTGACCTCCGACCTTTGGAGCCTGGGCGTGGTGACCTACGTGCTGCTGAGCGGCGCCTCCCCCTTCCTGGACGAGAGCGCCGAGGAGACCTGCCTGAACATCTGCCGGCTGGACTTCAGCTTCCCCAGAGACTACTTCCAGGGCGTCAGCCAGGGGGCCCGGGACTTCATCTGCCTGCTGCTGAGGACCGACCCGGGACGGAGACCTCCAGCCGCACTCTGCCTCCAGGAGCCCTGGCTGCAAGACGAACCCTCTGACGAACGGGCCAGGACGGAGGGCTGCCTGGACACGTCCCGCCTCATCTCCTTCATCGACAGGAGGAAGAATCAGACCGACGCCCGGGCCATCGGGGGAGTCGGGAGCTTCATTCAGAGCCGCCTGCAGCCTCGAGTTTAAAGTCCAACCCTCGTCCCTGCTGTCCTGTAGGGTCTGTCCTGTAGGGGCTGTCTTCTAGGTTCTGTCCTGTAGGGGCTGTCCTGTAGGGTCTGTCCTGTAGGGGCTGTCCTCTAGGTTCTGTCCTGTAGGGTCTGTCCTCTAGGGGCTGTCCTCTAGGGGCTGTCCTCTGGGGGCTGCAGGCTCCTCTGGATTGGAGCATCTTGATGGTGTAGAAGCTAGAAATAATGAATGCTGATCTGATCCTCTTTCACAGAATGTTGCTAAAGTCCTGTAGTCCTTTCACAAATTAGACCTGTAGGTCTAAACCAATCAGAGTCCTCGAGAACCAAGTTCTCACCAATCACGTAAATGAACGGATGCCCTTGTCTACTGCTGCTTGCTGCTTTCAACTCTAAACAGATTTTCTAGTAAAGTGAACAAAAAAAAACAACAAAAAAAAGTTATTTATTTTCCATTTGAAGATTTAGAGCTGACCGAGGAGCCGATTGAAGGAGCCTCAACGCGGAGAGCAAACTGCCCCCCCCCCTGGTTGCAGGGGACCAGACCGCGGAGCTCGGTTGTGTGTGTGGGTGTGGCTCTTTTACAACTAAAGACTGCCATTTCAAAGGGACTGTTGGAAAGAAGCCAGCCCTTTCTTAATAGAAGGACGAATGGCTTAAAAAAAGCGAAAAGTACGGTCTTAGCTGTACAGATTCCACAGGAAAGGAAGGAGTTCCGATTTGTAGAAAAAGTCGCTGTAGGGACGGCCCGGGAGCACGGTAACCCGGACGGCGGGGTTGTTGGAGACATTTCAATTACTTCCGCAAGCTTTTTGATGGCTGCGCTTCGTATCAAGCTGTAAGCACCTAAATTCTGAAGATACGGTGATGATTCATATGTCGCGATGCTGCACTGTCCGATCTGAGGAACAACAGACTCCATCGGTTTGCTTTTCCTAGAAAACAAAACTTTTGTTGGGCGCAGATATGAGATTGTTTAAGCCTTACCTTGTATATACATTAGCCCTCTTGCCTCCTTTCCCCTCACATTTCACGCGGGGTCCACGCGCCCGCCACCGCCCCACCTCGGAGGGCGGGATGCAGACTTTTCGCGGGGGGTCGTTCAGTGGCGGCGAATCAGACGGGGTGAATGTGGAGGCAGAGGAAGAGGGAAGATTTACTGTAAATGCACTCATTGTATGTATGTTTGATGATATTATGTGCAATGTGGCGGCTTTAACGATTTTATGCAAGCTTTTATGAAGGACATCTGTTGTATCTGTAATAAATCTGAGAGAAAAGCATGTACTTTGACTGCAAGCCACTGCTGGTAGTTTGTGTTTATTTGGTGTTTACGACTTCCAACCGTGTTAGAGGTCACACATTTTGCAATCATTACGGTTCGAACAAAAATATATTTTTTTTTTTTACGCTGTTAGGTGCCTGCGTGTGAGTATTGGTGACAGCCAAAGTCCGCTCTTAGCTTGTATAGGTATTGTAAGGAAAACTGTTTTATCGCAGGTAACGGATGCCCACGTGGATGATTGTTTACACGAGTCAGTTAAACACTATTGATTAGCCCGTTCTGAAAAAGGCAGGGAGTTGAAGAGAGTGAGATTTGATTGTCACAGAAAATTAGCATTGCCATTTTTATTTTAAGACTTAGAATGGAGATTTTTCATCATTTTACTAAATGGTTTTCTGACTTTATGTACAGATACAGATTGTTGCCAAAATAATTGTCACGTTCGCGCCATTAAATTCGCAAAAAGTACCCTAAAATCAGGTCAATTAAATTATGTTTTTTGATAGTTTTTTTGGGAATTGAAAGTCAAGATAGCGGTTGGTATAACCACTTAACTATACCCATTTCTATTATTGCATTTTTCAACTGACCACGAAGAGAAATTACAGTCCGCGGGTACGCGGTGGGAATTTATTTTTAAAAGGTGTGCACCAGGCATGTTCACAAGAGACACTTGACGGCGATACCTCGATAGGCTTGTTTTTAATTGTCTCGTCATTTTTTTGTCGGATGTTTGTTATCGATAAAGTTACATGTGCGTATGTGCGTTGTGTAGCTGCAGAGTTTATTTCTTTGTACAGATCATGAGCATAGTCCGCGTGGTAAAGGTGATTCTGCGATTTTGGCCATCCAGTTATTTTGAAATTAAACACAATGAAAATATTTGAACCCTGTTTGACATTTTGTTTCTTTAAGTGTTGTGTTTATTATTTAGTTTGTTCCGTTCATTATTTTAAACAGCCACACTATGTTGCATGACTGAAGGAGGATCTGAGCTTTCTGGATCTAGTCAGCACTGGCAGTCTTGATTAGAACAATAATGAGCCTTTTGTTAATAAGCGAGTTGGTTTAGATAACAGTTATCTAAAAAAAAAATAGGGATAATCCCAGAAACAAACGATGTGAAAACCAGTATGACTCTTTCGAATACAATACACCTTTAAACTTTTTCATATTTTCAAAAAGCTACACTATGATTTATCCTATTGCTTTTGACAGATATACAACAATTTGTATCCTTCTGGTATCTCTTACGACAATTTATGAATGAGTCACTAATATTATATAACTGCCAAAAGGCGAGCCTTATCGTAAAGTGTAAACAACCCATTCCCATTTATTAATGAGTCACGTAACATTTATAACTACTGGAAAGGGTGCGTCGTTTTTAAAGTTTCAATACACGTCCATTTAGATGAGTCTACTAACATTCAGCACTACCTAAATACACATTTTTTCACATGAAATGCAAAGTAAGATGCAACAGAACCAAGCCACCCTGCCCCCCCCGAAAGCAAAACAGTTTTATTCCAGCCACATGAGAAAATGTGTAGGACTCAAAGCTAATGACTGGTTTGAGTACAGGGGGTGGGTGGAACGCGCTTGTTCCTCCAAGGGCCATTTCAATTTTTACAACATCCTCGAGGGGCGCGTACAAATTATTGAACTCAAACGTCTGCTTAAGAAAACTCAAAGTCACAGCCATTCCATTCACGTTTTTTCATGCTGTGAAAGAAAAATCGAACCTCTAATCCAGGAGATTTGACCATGACCGCGCATTCATGCGCACTGGCATGACCAGCCAAAAAGAAAGGTATGGACACAAGAGGATGTGTGCAAATGTATGTTAGTTTCAGTATCCATGTGGACATGTTTAGAGTGGGGTGGGGGGGGCGGATTCTAACCTGCATCTAGGGGGTTGGCGGGGGGCATGCACCACCATGAAGATTTTTTTCTTAAAGAGGGAGAGAGGTTAAGAGGGGGAATCTGGTGGCACTGTTGTTGAGGCACATGAAGAGAATCTATGGAGTAGCATCGTCTCAGAACGAGCGCGCGATGTGGAAACAAACTGTAAGCAGAATTTGTTTCTGTTTTATGGTATTGTTACAAGTCAATTCGCCTTTTAAACTGTGTAATCTGGGTGTTATAGATAACAACTTTTTTTTACTGTCATATTTAGTATTGTGGATGAACGTGTTGACTTTATTCTCTTTATTGGTTTCTATAGATAGTAAAGAGAAGAGTGCGTGGTACCTGCTGGTTGAGAACAGAAGCTTGCTTATAGTGTCGGTAGCAGTAGCTAGCTAGGACCAGATGTAATATGAGCAACAGACGTTATTGAGCGTGTTATGTTCAGTATGACAGAGAAACAGATCCCTCTGGTTTACAACTAAAGACGACAGCCACGCAAAAACTGCGCATGTGGTACAGTCCTTTATGGGTATTGAATTTGTGAATGGGAGTCCCGGGCCGCGACCGCGTTCGGGTGCTCCCGTGAGAACACGGTCCAGTCAGACGAGACATATACCACGTGAAGTGACAGTTAGGCATCGTGTTGGTTCAATGGACCCTGACCTTGCCAGAAAACGCAAGCTGTGTTGTAATTTGGCGCTCGGTTCTAGGAGTTTCTTAATTTTGTCTTGTTCTGCGTGGGGTATACAGTTACCCTGTGTTATGTCCGTTACAAATGTCTCCGGGGCGTTATTACGGCCGGCGGAGTTCCCCCACGCCCCTGTGGCTTGAGTAGATGACGTGCACGAACTATTTAACGATAAAAGCGTTTGGTC